GTTTTGGTTCTCCATACTAATGAACATGTCTCACTCCTTGTATTAGCATTATTGATCACATATTTGTAAATAAATTGACAGGAAAACTTTTAAAGTTGGGCTGTTCTGTCATTTAAACAACAACAACAACAAAAACGTTCATTTGAGTCAAAGCTTCAAAGAGCCGCAGCAGAGGGACAAAAGTTTGCAGACCCCTGCAACCTTTTGTCCCTCTGCTGCGGCTCTTTGAAGCTTCAGCTTCTCTTACTTGAGTGATCAAACTTTTTAATTCTGTTTTTACATAATGGAAGACATCAGAATAAACACATATAAATAAACTTGTAAATAACTTTTTTTGTGTCAAATAAACTTGTAAATAACTTTTAAAGTCCCTAACAGTAATGAAATCACTCACAGAACATGAACACTAAGTAATAATCAGTATGTAACCTGATCTGTTTAATGAACATATGAATTGTGTGCACAGACCACCAGGACACCACAGTCAGCACAGTGCTGCAAATGGTTTCTGTGTTTTCAACAATGTGGCCATTGCAGCTCGATATGCAAAACAGAAATATGGAGTCAAAAGGTAATATGTTCTTTTATCTTTCCTCTGGTTTAATTGATCTGTGTTAAAGTGGTCTCATGTGAACACGTTTCTCAGGGTGCTGATCGTGGACTGGGACATACATCATGGCCAAGGAGTGCAGTATTGCTTTGAAGATGATCCAAAGTGAGGTTTTTATTATAAAGAATCATTAAAGTTTAATTAGATGTTGTTTCAAATTCTGCTTTCTGTCCCTTTAATTATTTTCATGCAGCGTTCTGTATTTCTCTTGGCACCGCTATGAACATGGGAGATTTTGGCCTCAGCTCAGAGAGTCGGACTACGACAGCGTTGGCAAAGAGAGGGGAGCAGGGTTTAACATCAACGTGCCGTGGAACCAGGTGGGAGAACTGAACTGTCTCATTTGTTATTCATCCGTTGATTCATCCATATTTAGTTAAGACTTATGTCCAGAAAAGCAGAATCTTCAGAAAATTCTTTAAAATCTCTGTTTAATTCTTTTTAATGAGCCGACAGCTGAGCAGACTGTTTCTGCTGCTTGTATGGAGCCTCATCAATCAGTAGTCTTACAGCTGGACACAGGAGGGATTGTGTTCAGATTATAAACCCAAATGCAAATAAAAATGTGAACAGATCACCTCTGAAATAATCAGAGACTTAACACTTTCAAAGTGTGTTGAACTTGTTCAGACATATTAAGTTTTGTTTGACTGCAGTCTCACAGTTCAGAACTGTTTTTTACAGCAAGTTGTTTAAAATTATGTTTTTTTTCAAGGGATTTTAAATGAGTCAGATACTGCTCATTTTAAACCCTGACATGTTTAGATTTTGTTGATAAAGCATGTTCAACAGTAAATCTATCATGTAATAATGAAATTGGGATATTTTAGTTGCCATTCAGACCAAACCTGTGGGTTCAGTCTTTGTTTCAGTCTCACTGTGATCAAACACCTCATTGTGATTTTCCAGGTGGGAATGGAGAACAGTGACTATCTTTCTGTCTTCTGCCACCTTCTACTGCCAGTTGCATATGAGGTAAAGTAAAAAAGCTGAAGCTCCTGTGTTGAATAGTTTTTGAGTTATAAGCATTTTTGTATGTCCAGACACCCCCTCTTTAGATGCAGCCCCCTCTTCAAATATAGGGTCTATCATAAAATCGTTGGCTGGCGCAGTGTAGATCTGACACACCTACATTTTACGTATGTAGAGTTTACGTATGTGTTCATTAAAACACATCTTTGTAAATCATCTGTCTCTTGTAGTTTTGTCCAGACCTGGTCTTGGTGTGTGCAGGTTTTGATTCAGCCATCGGAGATCCAGAGGTACCAAAGAGTTTACTACAATAAAAACATTAATACTCTTGCAGTATTTTGCTGATAACACTGTACTATCATTTCACACACAGATCGAACAGCTGATTTTTGTGACTCTTTAATGTTTTGTTTGCTTCTGTGTTTTCAGGGTGAAATGTGCGCCACTCCAGAAATCTTTGCCCACCTGACTCACCTCCTGATGAACCTCGCTGCAGGGAAACTGTGTGTTGTTCTGGAGGTGAGACAAAATGTGATGACCTGAAAACATAAAAGCAACAGAACTAAAGTTGTTTTTACATGGTTCAGTTTCAGCAGGACTCACTTCGCCCTCATTCCCCCTGACTGAGTGTTGACTCACGTCAGCAGGTCGTTACAGTGGATCGTACCACAGAGGAGCAAATAAGAGAATAAAGTCACAAAACAGTTTGTAAAGATGCTGGGGTTGAGTTGAATCAGCTCTGATGCCTCACAACAAGGAGGTTCTGGGTTCCATCCCCGATCTCGACCAGGAGTTTTGCTAGCGTGGGTTTTCTCTGAGTACCATCAACATGAATAACCCTAGACTGAGCCCTGCCTGTCTTTCCACTGGCAGCCGGTGTGATAACATGGAGGAGTAAAAGTGTCTTAAAAACCACACAGTCTACATAGCAACTATTAGATTATCATCAACTGGATCTGTTAAATATGACGGAGTATTAGGTCTACACAGCGAGATTTTTATTATTATTATTATGAGACTAAAGTCGTAATTTTATTAGAATAAAGTCATAATATTACAAGATTAAAGTCGTATTATGAGATTAAAGTCATAATTTTACGAGAATAAAGTCATAATTTCATGAGAATAAAGTCATATTATGAGAATAAAGTCATAATATTACAAGAATAAAGTCATAATATTACGAGATTAAAGTCGTAATTTTACGAGATTAATATTACGAGAAAAAAGTCGTAATCATGACATGTCTATTTCCCGTTCCTCGTTTCCTCCTTTTTTCCTCGCACATAGGCTGTGTCTCAATTCAGGGGCTGGGTCCTCATGAGTGCGCATTTGTCGGCCGCATACGTCACTGCCCCGCGCGGAGGAC